TTATATAACTTATAAAGCCTTTGTTGGGATTTAGTGGCTGCACTGGTGCTTTTAGTGACAAAGATGCCAATAGTTGCCTTCAAGAGTTACATTATTCCTATTTGTTAGACACCAATATATTGACATATGATTTTGACGAGTTTTGTTGTCTAAAAGACTTACTTTTTAGGGTTAATATGCTTGCACAATGTAGAGAACATTAACAACTTGTATCATATTGGAAGTGTTCTTGTGCTTCATTTTGCTTTGTTGTTGTGATTTTAATGTGATTATTAGATAAAGGCATCTTAATTGGTTTCTTATTTGAACTTATACGCTTTCTTATATCTATTGACTTGTTTTATTTTTTTAAATGTAGAAAATGGCATCTTCGTCGTCCTCACAGGCTCGCCGGTACAATGTACAACCCGGTCCGATTGACGGGTCGCTTCTGTATCTTCATACCCGCCACCGGGCCAAGGCGGTATATAACGATGAACCAGGCTATCGTAACGACATTATTACAAACCGCCGGAACGATAGTGAGTTATGGCCCACATTGGAGAAGCAGCATGATAAAGTTTGGGAGCAAGTCGACATGGCAGGTTTTGGCCCGGTGTTTCGGATGGGCCGGGTAACAACGGACAACAGCCTCATCACCTGCCTCGTGGAAAGACATGTGTATTGACTATCTAGGGTTTCGCCCCAATGTCCAGGTATATATTCTATCTCAAATAGTATTTACAATTTCATATATTTTATTCAAATTCAATAAAAAATACAAATTTTATAGCATTGTGACACCCATTTCTCGTTTATTAAAATTTCAACTATTTTAATTTATACATAAATGTATTATTTTCTATCTTTAAGAAATATGAAACTATTTAATTATATTTAATTATTATTTTTTATCTCTAATTTGCTCGTTTATTTATTTTTTATTTTTAAAAACCAATTACAGGATAGAGATGACCCGGCGTACGAGCCCAACACTTGGCCCATTAAAGGCCAATTCTTGAATGTCGGCCCATTAGAGGCTGCATGCAAACGAGAGCTCTCAGATGGAGAAGACGTCGAGGTCTACCAACAAAGGGCGAGGGCCCTTATACTCTGGTGCATAGGCTCGTTCTTCTTCCCCGACCAGCGGGCGAACAGAGTCAACCTGTACTGGTTGGATATGCTGCGCGACATTGATAAAATCAAGGGGTATAGTTGGGCTTCAGCGGTCCTCGTCGGATTGTATAGAGCGTTGTGCACAGCCTTCGAGGCCGGGCAAGGCTGGATTAAGGGTTGTGTCCAATTGCTCCAGGTACATTTATTTTAGATGTTATTTAAAACTTCATTTTTTTTATTCTGACTAATATCTAATACAAAAAATGCATATGTCGGTCGATATGTGTAGGTTTGGGCATGGGAACGCATCCCTCGCATTCGCCCTACAATGAAGTCCACGCGCTTTCAGTCTGTACCGGTTATCCCTTAGGAGCAAGGTATGAACATTTATTTATATTTAATAAATATTAAGTTTTTTTCATTATTAAATTTTGAAATTACAAACTTATTTTTTTGTGATCTTTAAGGTGGGTGGGAAGAAAGAACTTGACGCAAATAGCCAAGGGAACAGCTGCTATCCGGGATCAGCTGACATGGCTGAGAGAGACGGATGCAAGATTCTTAACTTTTATATATTAACTTATATTTTGTTTTTTATTGTTTTCAAATATTTGCTAACTTAATTCTTAGTAATTCTTAATTCAATTTTTTTTTTCTTTTTTTTTCTTTTTTTTTTCAGTTCGATTGGATGCCTTATGTCCAGTTCCTCGAGGATTCGTCTACTCTCCCGGACCAGTAGATCAACATGTTTGGATGTACAAGGGGCCCATCTTCTGTTGGAACATCTGTGAGCCCCACGAGCCTGATAGGGTCCTCCGTCAGTTTGGATGTCGCCAGTCCATCCCTCTAGCTCCGTTCACTGGGGATGTGGCCCGATGGGAAGCACTCCACCGAGGTCAGGGAATGACTGGGAGGGCATATACTGATTGGGCCGTCTTTCATTCGGAGCTTGGGAAGACTTGGGCCGATCATAGAGATCAAAATGTCCACCCACATCAACCAGTAGAGCAGTTCCTAGAGACTGAGGAGGGTTACATTGATTGGTTTCACAGGAGGACTGTGAGACTGATCAGTAACCCTAACAACTACCCGGCGGTCCAACAAGACGGAGGCTATCAGCCAATGGCCGAGCGGGCAAAGTGTGACGTAAGTTCCTAAATTGTGAATTTTTATTACTACTACTACTATTATTATTATTATTATTATTATTATTATTATTATTATTATTATTATTATTATTATTATTATTATTATTATTATTATTTATATTATTATTATTATTTATTTTTATTATTATTATTATTATTATTATTATTATTATATTTTTTTTGTGTCCATAACTCATTTGTTTGAATTTTATTTTCAGTATGGTGCCATGGGGGGGCTTATGACGCGTTACAAAGTGTTCAACACTTGTTGGATACAGCTCATCCCCAATTGCAGGAGGCATGGCAGAAGAGCCAGAACATCCTCCACAGTTGTATGACTGTTGGAGGCCAACAGGTCATACAAGGGGCGTCGTCTAGTCAACTTCTATCTGAAGAAGACTACGTCCCTTCCCAGGCCACACAGTCACATCGGGCGAGACATCGACCGTCTTGCAACATTGGTGGAGGTCGAAGACGGCGTGCCCGTGAACCCGCTGCCGCCCGTGAACCCGCTCCGCCACTGCGTATGAGGACGACGAAGCAGGTGATAATTTTTTTTCATTAAAAAGTGTTTATTTTTTATTTTGTTTTTTGTTTTTTTTTGTTCAGTCGAATTTCTAATTTGTTTAAAATATGAATTACTCAGATCAAGAAGAAGAAGAAGTTTCCACACCTATCACGACCGCAGCCTCGTCTTCTTCAGGACAACGGCCTCCTAGGAAGGGGTCCCAACAGCGTAGACCTCCGAATAACTATACTCCTTCCTAGTTAGTTTGTGTATTTTGTACTTTGAACTTTGCAGACATATTTGTTTTGTATTTAAAACCGTATTTTGACCTTTTAAGTTTTATATTGTGTTTTTTGAATATTGCATTATGGTTGATTGTTTTTTACATAATGTATGTTGAATTATTTTTTTGCTGAATTGATATATATGAGTTGGTTGAACAGGTGTATATTGGACATGTTGGTTGATTGAATAGGTTTATATTATTATTATTATTATTATTTTAAGCAAAAACGTATTCGCGTAATAAGTTTTTGGTCAAAATTGACTTAAAAACGTATGTTCACAATACGTTTAATATTTTCAGAAAATTATAATTAACAAAAAAAAATTTCAAAATTCTAAAATAAATTTTAGCAGGAAAACGTATTCGCAAAATACGTTTTAACGAAAAACGTATTTTGCCTATACGTTTACAATGTAAAACGTATTCTTGTAATGCGTTTTTGTTTGTGTTAATTAAGATTAATTAATTTAATTACGTTGTTTTAGGAACACGTATTCGCAGATACGTTCAAGAAGGAAAACATATTCCGGTAATACGGTTTTATTGTAAAAACGTATTCTCCGAATACGTGTGTTTGATTTTTGTCCACACTTTATTTTTTTTATTTTTGTCTACTTAATTTTTTTTTTTTAAATAAATAATTATTTCGAAAAAGTTTACGTATCTTTTATACTTTAATATATCTATTATATCGCGGTGGAAATAACTATTTTTTCTATTAATATAAAGGTTGGTCACTTTTCCTATCATTATTTAAATAAAAATTAATTTGTACGATTACTGTTGTGTTCTAGCAAAAGAGAGAAAAATAATACGCTTTTTGAAAGTAAATAAGCTTTTCAAAGAATGTGATCATTGGGTAAAGATGTTTCACAGCTCAGAACTGGTTTTGGGACACACATTACAGATTCAGAACTTTTTATTGTCACGAGCAGGTTCAATTTTCTTCCTATTCTATATATTATATTATTATTATTGTTAGGGCCATCATTACTACTTACATTAGGCAATGCCGTAACCGTTTATCTATGTTAGGATTTGAATATTGAAGCACAATATGAAATAACAAATTATGAGAGAGAGAGAGAGAGAGAGTAGTTTAAATGTAATGGATACTGATTAAATGTTGACAAAATTGCAATTTTAGTGATATTCGTTGATCTAGTGACGTTTTTATTCTTGAGAATTGTTATTTGATCATACGATTTTAAAATTCAACGCAATTTCAGTCCTAAAAAATATTTTGGATGAATTTGTCATTAGCAATTTAAGTTTTGTAATTTTAAATTTTGTTGCAATTTCAGTCTCAAATGACTGAAATTGCAGCAAAATACAAAATTACAAGATCAAAAGACAAAAAGTTAAAGTCTTGGACTAAAAATGCTACGACGTTAAACCAGCAGGACTAAAAATGCAATTTTGCCCTAAATGTTTGGATATCAATATATCTACTTAAAATGAACTTTTTTAGCTAACAACAATTAATTTTGAAAAATGTGTTACGATTAGTTGTTATTGGTTTTTTTGAATTTATATTAAAATAATATTTAAATACAATAACTAAAGATTGATTTAACGTAAAAGCAAGAAAGAAATGTTGTGAACTGATTTTTTTAGTTAAAATTATGTGAGTTGATTAATAATAGTGAATTAAAGCTGATGCGATGTATAAAAATGAACGACTGATATTATTCAATTACATTAGTAATACCGAGGATAGCCGAGTTGAATTAAAATGGAGTGAAATTTTAAATATGAATATAAATTGAGTTTATTTATAAACAAACATATAGCTTTACATTTGAGAAATTGAAAAAAAATAAAAATAAAATACATGAATAATTTTTTTTTTCTAGTCAACTCTCCAAAATACACAAGAACTTGGAAAGCCATATTTATTTTTCTTTCCATTTGTGAATGTACATGAAATTGAATGATTGAAACATATATCAAATTATTGGAGCTAAAGTCTTAGCCAAAGCTCCCCACTTATGAATGATGTACTAAGATATGGCATTGCCTCCACAAAACTCAGCTCTTTAGAATAAGGCACTCTCCCTGTTCTGTTTGCTCCCCTCCCACTGCACTCATATTCTCCAAATACCACCATTCTGTAACAATTAACCAAAACAAAACAAGAATCATGATAAAATTGTTAAATTTAGAGCATGATTATGTAAAGTTTAATCATAAGATATCACCTGTCCCTATATGGGGCTCCCCAATCACTCCAGCCCTCGGAATATACATCGATATCGAACTCGGTATACGAAAATATGGTACGCGAATAGTTTCCCCAAGCGCGGCCCAGGTAGACGGGCCCATCCCCGGTCACAGTGCAGTTCACGAACGAGAAGCCCGTGTTCTCGTTTCCCGAGTCTCGACTCTGGGCTACTATAGCATATGGATTCTCCACCACAGAGATGTTGCATCCCTGTTTTTCAAATTTTGATACATTACCAATTTCTTTTTACTTAAAAAAAAAAAAAAAAAAAACAAATGTTTGTGTATTTTGAGCACCTGGTAGAGTGATGTTGCATATCCAAATATGAAATCGACCGAGCCCTGGATAAAACACTTGAGAAAATAGTGTGTCCCGTATTCGTCCAGAAGCGTGTCCTGTGAGCCTAGGAACCGGACTTTGTAGAACATGCTTCGATTGCTCGATAGTCTCAGAGCCACCGCTTGATATCCTTCACTAGCTGTCCCGTTGCAGTCTATCGAATTCTGCCAAGACGAAAATCCTCAAAAACAGAGAAACAAAAGAATAAAGAAATAGTAGCATTAATCACCTCAATAGTGACATGAGACGCGCAAAAATAATTGGATTCGACAGTGACGGTGGCCGAGTTCCAAGTTCCCACAACACTTCCGTTTTTGGTTCTGTCCGAGGCCTTGCTGTGCCAAGTTATAACTGTCTGGTCGCTTTTGTTCTGGTCCCCAATAAACGAGATGTACGGTTTCGATAAAGGGACGAGAACCTTTTCCCTGTTGTCCGAAAATGTTCAAACCAAGAAACATAACATTCTTCAAGAAAAAGAGATAACAATAATAATAATAACAATTATAATAATGTTTTCAGTTTTATATACAAACATGTAAACTCCGGGGAGAATGTGGATTTTCACTCTCTGGGAGTTGTTCTCCGGCACCATGTCCACGGCGCCTTGCACGGTCAAAGAATCTCCGCCGCCTTTACTGTTGACCACGATGATCCTCGTCTGATTCTCGCCATTATCTGCACTCAACCGGGATTCGTTGCTACTCGGAGTCAAGTCGTCCCATGTTATGTAATAATCGCCGCTATTAGATTTCGCAGCAGTCGACTGATTTTCGACGGGATCCATTAAAAGAATAACAAGAATGAACACACCCCAGAAACTCATCATTGGCCTAATTATATGAAAACTAGAAAGTTATAAAAGTACTAAGTTAATGTATGCTTATTATATGTTTGTATGGCTGAATCATGCATGGACATGCATCTTACACTCAACTTATCAACTGATTTTAAAACACAAGTGATCTTGGGGAGTAAAAAATAATGGGATATATAAATGAGAGAAATAATCATCATCTCTGCAACTTTCTTATTGTAATCAATTGGTTTTTGATAATTGAGACAAGCAGAGGGTGGGTGTCTTATCTATCGTTTCGAAAAAAAAAAAAAAAAAAAAAAAAAAAAAAAAAGTGGGTATTCTGAGACAAGAATCTCAAAGGTTTTATTGTAAATCATTCATTATATGGGAGGGTTCTTTTTTTTATTATTATTTTTTATTTTGTGGCTTAAGATAAGCTATAAATAATTATGGTGAAAAGAAATTAAGCTAATGTGAATTTAAATTAAGCTAATAAAAAACCTACTAAATAATTATGGTGAAAGTCATAGCTTTTGAGCAGCTTAAATAATGATGAAATCTAAAAATTGACCTTTTTCTTTTCTTAATTAATGAGATCTATAGTTATTTTCATTTTGAAGAAAGGATTAAAGATAGAGTAGTTGGGATTGGGATTTTGGTATGTCTAAAATATGATATAAATTATATTAAATCATTTGGTTTAATTAGTAGGTTTTAATATGATGTTCAACATTATAAAATGGTAAGATGAGTAAGTAGTTGGCAAAATTTCAATTTTAGTCATGCGGGTTTTAGAATTTTTAGTCCCATTATTTTAACTTTTTGTCTTTCGATCATGTAATTTAGTATTTTGCTGCAATTTAAGTCATTTGGACTGAAATTGCAACAAAAATTTAAAATTACAAGACTTAAATTGCTAATAAAAAATCTTTAAACCAACTAGTAAAATGTTCAATTGTTATGACTAAAAACGCCACTGAATCAAACCAACAGGACTAAAATTGCAATTTTACCTAAGTAATTCGACATTCGTATTTTTAAATAAAAATGCATATTTATATTGCTACATGCTATATTTTTATTTAAGTGGTTTTTTAAGCATCACATTTCTATATGTAATTTTGCATCTTTATTGAAACAAAAAAGTTTGAACAGTTGACATTGCACATTGAATACTAAATACTTAACATAAACACTACAAAAAAAAACTCTTACATTCCAACGGAAATTTTCCGTTGGAATTCTTTATATTTTCCGTCGAAATAACTAGCACTACAAGAAAATGATGAAATTCCAACGAAAATATATTTCAAAGAATTATTCCAACGGCAATTCCAACGGATATTTCAATACTATTATTTCTGTTGGATTTTTCAATGGATTCCAACAGAAATTCCAACGAAAATATTCCGTTGGAATGGGTTTTCCATTGGAATTTCCGTTGGATTTTAACGATTCCAACGGTGGATTTTCCAACGGGGGTGGAAAAAAAAATTGCAACGGAATTTGCATATTCCAACGGAAATTCCTACGGTAAAAAGCCGTTGGAATTATAGCCGTTGAAATTATAGTCGTTGGAATCATCAAATTCCATCTAAAATTTCAATGAAAAACACATTCAACGGAATATTTCCGTTGGAATTTCTGTTGGAACTATTCCAACGGAAGCTATTCCATTGGAATATCCATTGGAATATCCGTTGGAATATATTACCATAGGATTTTCCGTTGGAATATAACATTTATTTTGTAGTGTATTCCAACGAAAATTCTACGTATAAAAATTCGTGAGAAAAACGGCCGTTGGAATAGCTAAAATCCAATGAAAAATCCTATGGAAATAAATTCCTACAAGTATTCCAACGGAAAAAATCCGTTGGAATTCTTCAACCATCCAACACTTATTCCAACATAAAATTAAGTTTGTTGGAATAATCATTGGAATTTCTAACAGAAATTTTTGCCGTTGGAATTTTTCGTTGGAATTGAAATGTTTTCTTGTAGTGAAACTCGCAAAAAGGAAAAAAAAAATAAAATACATACTATAGAGTTTTATTTATTTATATCTTGTATAATTACCATTTCGCGTGCGTGAATTTAAAAAAAAAAAAAAAAAAGGTTTTACTAGCATAGTTTTTCGTCATATTTTCCATAAAAGTTCATTGTCACACAAATTATTTCACGTAGTTAATATAAATACTTATCAAAGTGTTGACAAATATTTAGAAAATTGCAATTAGAATATTGTGAAAATACTATCGCTTTCAGGATCAAAAAGTTTTTCATATATTGTCAAACCTACAAGACACTTTCCTTGAAATTGCATTACTAAATTAAATGGACTTTTTGTAAAGTGCCGTCATGCTTCTAAGAAAAATAGAACTTCAATCATTTGTAAGTCAGTCATACCTAAAAAAAAAAAAAAAAAAAAAAAAAAAAAAAAAAAGAAATGCATATTTATTGAAAAAAATATGTGTGGCTCTCCTGTCCCATGTCCCGGATGAAAAGGTTGACCACATTTTTTGATTATTTAAATGCATTTTCGATAACCTTTTGGTTCTCCAAGATCCTTCGATCGTTTGGCTCTCCGGAGACCTGCAAAGACGACGGCCGAAGGGAGATGTTCTCGGCGTGAAACCTACGACGATCAAGTTAGTTGGGTGATATGGAAAACTATATGTTGAAAACTTAGAGTGTATAGTGATTAACTTTACACCAAAGGGCGTTTCAGCTGCCCAACCTCCTCCAGACTCTCATCCAAATTCAACCTCTCATCCGCCATAGTCTTCTTCTTCATCTTAGCTTCCTCTGCAACCAGTAGATAAATAGAGTTATAGTACAAAACAACGCCAATTGATGTGAAGTTTCACCTCAAACTAGCTCTCTAAGATTCCTCGACCATTTGGCTACCTGCAAATACGTTGGGAACATCTCCCGACGTTAAACTTTTGACGATCAAGTCAGTATAATGATATGGAAAACTGTATGAAAAATATACTGAAAGCTTAGAGTATATAGGGTGATTAGCCTCTACCTTTTCCCAATTTTACCTATTTATAGAAGACTGTTAGCTTCATGAACAAGCTTCTCCCCTGCCCGACTGCCTGAAGACCTGACCAACTGTCCTTTCTGCCCGAAAAGGTTGCCTTGGTTACATGGCTACCAGTAGGTCTGCTCGTTGGTTATTTGGCTTTAATCTTACCCGTCAGATTACCTATTCTTTTTATTCACAAGCCTACATTTGTCCCTTTGTTGACAACCTGGACTTGACCTACTATTCAAGTCAATCCACTTCCTACTGGGGTCTTTTACCACACTACTTGTACACCCGAGCTATAGAATTTCGAGCTCCTCAATGGCCGAACTATAATCCATTATGTATTTGTCGTGTTATCCGAGCTCCTTATATGTCGAGCTTCAGATATTGACATGTTCTTCAGAGCTCCTTATATGTAGAGCTATATACATTGATGTGTTGTCTGAGCTCCTTATATACCTAGCTCCCTATATGTGGAGCTGTAGATACTCTTTAGTTATCCGAGCTATGTGAATGCTTATTACTCTGAGCTAAACGACCCAGCTAATATTTGGTTTATAATCCGAGGTTTACCATAACCGATTCAACCGAGCTATCTTCATATGCTATAAAATACTACCTCTTATTTTTAATATATGTCGTTTTGAGAAGTTGCACACTAATTAAGAATATTTTTTTTTTGTCAATAATAATCTTATTTAATGAAGATAGAGATGAATGTTTTGAGAAAAAAAAAAGTGAAGAGTGAATATGAAAAGACGTAATGTATTTATTGACTAAATGATGGTAATAATGAAAAAATATGTACAAAAGATCCAAAATGACATTTATTTGATAAATGGTTGAAAAGGCTAGAATGACATTTAAAAAAAAATAGGAGGGAGCATTATATTTCTATTTTTATTATATTTTAAAATTGAATGTGATATTTAAGTATAAATTTTCATATATTTATTGAAAAAAAAAAAAAATACTTGTGGCTCAGAACATAATAGAAGACCTGTCCGGATGAAAAGGTTGGCCACATTTTTTTTATTATTTAAATATATTTTTCGATAACCGTTGTGTGGTGAAAAAACTAGCACATTTTATTAATGGGTTTTAGTGAAAAAAACTAGCATTGTCACCATTGGCTAGGATGTTTCACACTTTTCGATTCGGATCTTCATGTCACGCTTTTACTTAGCATAGATCGACTCGTGTACTATATAACGACCTTTCTGAAAAGCGTCATCATACCATTTTTTTTTTTTTTTTTTTTTTTAAAAAGTGTAATGAAATGTCAAAAAAAATTTATCCTTTTTTTTTTTTCTAAATGTGTCATTTTCAAATACACTTTTATTTATTTATCATGTTGTGCAAATAAATAACAATATGACATTTTTTTGACACTCAAATAAGTTCCTGAAAAGTCATTGTGCAAAGTTATAGAGTACATGGAGTATAGTACGGAAGCGCGTAGAAATAAATAAATTAAAAATGAAACAATAATAAATAAACTTGTCTTCCGACGAGCGTCCCACTACCAGTGGTGAGTATGAGTCGGTACGGTTCGGAGGTTGATAAATCTCTGGAATCGTACCATGATTCGGAGACCAGTAAAATTCTACCGCGGAACCGTACCAAAAAATCGGTTTGGTTCGGTTCGAAAATTTTTATTTTGTGGTGCATTTCAGTTCAGTATTCGAGACTATCGGAACGGTTCGGTTCGAAGATTTTTATTTTGTTGTGCAGTTCAGTTCAATATTCGAGACTATCGGAACGGTTCGGTTCGGTTCGGATATTCGGAGATTTCTAATTATTTTTAAATAAAAAACATATCTTGTCGGCAAAAAATCGCTTGTCGAGGCTCCCGCGATGTCGTGGTATTTTTCGGAATTTTTTTGGCGTTCAAACTAGCAGAAAATGGAAGTGAGAGGCTGAGAGAGAGAGAGAGAAAGAGAGAATGAAA